ACTTGTGGTGAACTACGTTGGCTGATTTTTTATTGTGAAAGCAGTTTTGCATTTCAGGGGTAAACCTGCGGAATATACTATAAAGCATATGTACTTCACAGGGCCTGGTTTTCCAAAGTCTTGCAGTTTCAAATATTGAGCTTGCAGAGGACTGGAAATTTTCCTCAGGCTGTTAGTCCTATTGTAAGATAAAGATTTGTGGCACAGCAAGGTTGCTGGCTCAAGGACAGACTAGTTACTGATTGTTATGTAAAGATACTGAGAAATTGTGGTAAGAAGGAATGTTTGCTAAGATCAAGCTTGTGTTGATAAAACCACTTAATTTTCTTACTGGAATGTCATCTGGCTTGTTTCACTGAAAGTTACCAGCCTATATTGTTAAACTATAACCCCACCTATGTCTCTTTCTGTAACTTCCTGGTCTGGAAAATAAATGCAGGCAGAGAACCCCAATTGGTGGTTAATTTCCCAAGGGATGCCTCTCACTTCAGGGTTCTGGCGGAAGATTAACCACTTTGTGGTCTCTCACTGCTCAGAAGAGATGGGCTTTGAGTAATCCTTTGCATGTCCATCACCCAGGGGAAGTGGGGTGACAAATCCATGGGGGGGGCAAAGCAACATAAACCCCACTTTGTCAAGATTTATTGTCCTTCTTATGTACTCATGTTGCTAAATTCAATTTGTTAATATTTTGTTGAAGATTTTTGCATCTGTATTCATGAGCTATATTGGTCTACAGGGGTTTTTATTTTCTCTTGCAATATTTGTGTCTTGTTTTGGTTTTAGGATATTTATGGCTCCTAAAATGCATCAGGAATTGCTCCCTTCATTTTTACTTTCTGAGAGAAACTGTGGAGAAGTATTAATTTCTTAAATATTTGCTAGAATGTATCAGTGTGAACACTGGGACCTAGATTTCTTTATTGGGAGATTTTAAACAACAAATTCAACTACTCTACTAAATATAAAATAATTCAAGTTATCTCTTTCTTGAGTGAGTTTCAAATGTTTGTGTCTTAAGAAATTGCTCCATTTAATTTCTCAAATTTATAGGCATAATGTTGCTATAGTATTTCTTTATTATTCCATTGATACCTGTTAGACCTGTATATTTTAGTCCTTATATTGGTATTTTATCTCTTGCCTCTTCATTTCTTGGTCAATCTGGCTAAGGATTTATCTAAATTATTAATCTTTTAAAAAGAAACAGCTTTGATTTTTTTTCTCCGTTGCTTTCTGCTTTGAATTTCGATGGCTTCTTTTTTTGTTTCTTTCTACTATCTGCTTGCTTTGGGTTTAATTTTATCTTTTTCCAATTTATTAAAGACCTTTTAAAAAGAAACAGCTTTGATTTTTTTTCTCCGTTGCTTTCTGCTTTGAATTTCGATGGATTCTTTTTTTGTTTCTTTCTGCTATCTGCTTGCTTTGGGTTTAATTTTATCTTTTTCCAATTTATTAAAGACCTTAGATTATTAGAAATCTTTTATGTGCCACAAGTTTTCCTCTAAGTATTGATTTAATTTTATTTACAAATTGCGATATACTGTATTCTGTTTTTATTCAGTTAAAAATATACTCTAATTTGCCTGTAACTTCTTTGACCCATAGGTTATGTATAAGTACCTCGTTAAATTTCCAAGTATTTGGGGAATTTTTTAGATATCTTTGTTTTTCTATTTTGATTTTATTATGGTTAAAGAATATACTTTGTATGATTTCAGTTTCTTTAAGTTTTGTCTTATGACTCAAGCTATGCGTGGTGAATATTCCAAATGCACTAGAAAAGAATGTGTTTTATTTTTACTGGGTAGGGTGTCCTGCAACCGAGTGAAGTTGGTTGATAGTGTTCTTCAGGTCTTCAATATTTTTAGTGACTTTTTGCTTTTTAGCTCTACCAATTACTGAGAGAAAAGTGTTGAAGTCTCCAATAATAATTGTGAACTTTTCTATTTCTCTTTTCATTTCTATCTGTTTTGCTTTGTATATTTTGAAGCTCTGTTGACATGTACATACA